TAGTATGACATGGGGACAACCAATCCATGCCCAGAATCATGTTAAAATCAACCATACTAAGCAATAAAAGATCAACTCTCGTCTTCAATCCCCCAATGGTCACCACACATGACCGATACAAATGGTCCACAATAATAGAATCTCCCACCAGCATAGATACATGAATAGGAGTAACTGAGGACTCACAGGGCATATCCAAATAACGAGCAAAATACGATGATACATATGAATAAGTGGAAACAGGTTCAAATAATATGGAAGCATCCCTGTGGCACACTGAGACTATACTTGTGATCACTACATCTAAAGCAACAACCTCGGGCTTGGTAGGAAGAGCATAGCATCGAGCTTGACCGCCATCGATCAGCTCCCCCTCTAGGGTGATTTCTAGCTACCTGAGCCTCACCCTAAGCTGGCTTAATGAGTGGTGAAGTAACTGGTACGGAAGACATAACCTGACCCCTCTACTGTACTAGACCTTCTAAAAGACGGGGACAATACCTTCTCATATGTCTAAAATTTCCACACTCGAAGAAAATCTGATTCATTAATGGCGGTAAAGACTGAATCAGACCCCGAGAACTAGAATAAATACTAGAAAGACATAGTACCGATGAACCCTGAGCCGATGGAGCACGGGATGAACTTTGAGCTGGATGGGCACTATGACCCGAACAAGCACTGTGTGAACAATGGCTACCTGATGCACCCTAATGAACCGGATAAGCCATCTGAGCGGGCCTATAAGGACGACCCTTGCTGTGGTGGGATTGTCCTCCAGATGAGGCACTGCTAAAAACCACTCGAACCACGAGGCCTCTTGGCCTCCCTTTCCTCACACTCCTAACTACGAACCTGCTCTAGGCTCCTAGAAATATCAACCACCTCGTCGAACCTAGCACCTAACGCAATCTCCCAAGTCATGACAAAGCGCAGTCCATAGTTGAGGCCATCAATGAACCTCCTAATCCGCTATCTCGGTGGGGACTAACTATACCGCATGATGAGCCAACTCTGAAAATCTCATCTCATATTAGGTTACTGACATACCCTCTTTGGCGTAGCTGCTCAAACTACCTAAGCAATTCCTCCTTGCGGGTCTATGGAACAAACTTCTCTAAGAAGAGAACTGAAAGCTCATGCCACATAAGTGCTGCAGCCGGATGGCCTACTCAATCCATAGGCCTCCCACCATCTAAAGGATGCCCCGGATAGTTTAAAAATAGTAAATGATACTCTACTAGTCTCCAGAATACCCGTCGTGCGAAGGATCTGCTGGCACCTATCTAAACAATCTGTAGCATCCTATGACTCAACCCTACTAAACTCTAAAGGCTTGAGACTCCTAAACTGCTCTAGTCTCTTTTGCTTCTCATCACTCATAGGTAGACCAACCTAGGCCTGAGCAGCTGCAACCAGCTAGGCTGGTAGTACCTCCGGTGTTTGAGGTCCCTGAACTAACTGCTCTGGTGTACGGGCGGGGGGAGTTTGAGCATCTCCCCCGGCCTGAGAAGTGGCCAGTGCGGCCGTAACTAAAATTTCCTAAGCAAGGCTAGTGCACACAGTCGATATTTAGGTGAGAGCCTCCTAAAGGCTTGGAATCACAATGGGCACAACTGGTGCCTAGGCTGGTCCAAACGGCTCAACAACATCTAGCATTTGCTCGTGAGTTAGAGAAGCTGGTGGCTCCACAGGTGCTACTCTAGCTGCTATACGAGCTGCACCTCGACCTCTACCGTGACCCTAACCTCTCGCGGCTCTAGCTGGTGGTACTGGTGGCCGTCCGCCCAATCTAGTCACACATGTCTTCTCTATCTATGATAGAATATAATAATAAAAGTTTAGTTTCCAGAATCAACAAATCTGCACGACAAGAATACAAGAAAGTGAAGTTTCCTAATGGTTCGGTTGCCTCTCGAAGATAAGTACAGTCGTCTCCATACCGATCCATAAGACTCTACTATACCTATTCATGACTCGTGAGACCTAAGTAACCTAGTACTCTGATACCAACTTGTCACGACCCAAATCCTAACCTGTCGTGATGACGCTTATCACATTACTAGGCAAGTGTATAATCACATAATAACTGCGCATTTGAATTAAAAACATGATTTTCAACAAGTTCAATAGTGGAAAAATCTCATAAATGACTGATAAAAACAACTGAAAATCAACAACAACAAATCCCAAAATCCTGGTGTCATCGAGTACATGAGCTACTAAGTGTCAACACAGTCTAAATCTCTAATACAACTATCTGGAAAATAGAACAGTTCTGAATAAACTGAAAAGAAGGAGAGTCAAGGTCTGCAGGCATCATAGCAGCTACCTTAATAGTCTCCGAGCAGATACCACAACAAATCTAGCAACCGCCGTGTCTAGAAGTACCTGGATCTGCACACGAAGTACAGAACGTAGTATGAGTACAACCGACCTAATGTACTCAATAAGTAATATGACTAACGTTGGGGTAAAAGCAGTGACAAGCTTAGAAAGATATGGTCTGAATCCATATAATGAAAGTAAAGATATAATCGGGAAATGACAGTAATAACTCAGAGAAATTCCATAATCAGTTCGTACATAGTACATAAATGTAGATATGCTTTCAAGTATAACAATTAAAGCTCAACGATGATGAAATATGGCAAGTACAAGTAACATGAGGAATGTTACATTTCTATGACTATATGTCAAATATGCATGTCAAATGTAATGCATCATAGTGTACTCCCAGGTACTCACGCTCCCAGAGTACTCAATCAGACTGTCTCAACTCCTACTCATCACACACAATCACTCAGCACTGAATGGTACCTGCGCTTACTGCTGGTATGTCAGACTCTGGAGGGGCGGATCCTGCCCAAGCACTAATATAAAGCCAATATGGCCTGTTGCGGCATGCAACCCAATCCCATAATAATAGATAAAGCCTATAAGGTTTGTTGCAACAATCTCTCCAGTCTCACAGGCTCACATATCTCATACCACTTAGCCTAAATAATGATAACATGATGTAATAGTAAATGATAACAGGGATTGAGATATGATATGCAAATGAATGAATATGACCGAGTACATAATTGCAATTTAAGCAAATAACTCAACTGCAGAAATGACCTCAGTGGGTCCCAACATAATACGCATATAGCCTAAACATATTTCTAACATGGATCATAACTCAATTACTCTAACACATAGAACTTCATGGATAGAAACAAGATTAGATAACTACATAGTACCACAGAATTAACCGAGTCATAATTACCGTGGTGCACGCCCACACGTCTATCACCTAGCATGTGAATTACCTCAACACCAACCATATAACATGTATTTCAGGGATTTATACCCTCAGTACCAAGTTTAGAAGTGTTACTTACCTCTAAGTGTGCAACTCAATGCTCCAACAAACCCTTGCCTTGTGAATCGGCCTCCGAACGACTCGAATCAAGTTATAAATAACTTAATACATTCAATACAAGTTATAGGAATTGATCTCATACAATAAAGCTAAGTTCTTTAACCAAATTCAAAAAGTCAACCCAAAAGGTTAACCCCGGGTCCACTCCTCGGAACCCGACAAAATTCACAAAATCCGAACACCCATTCAATAACGAGTCCAACCACACCAAAATCATCGAAGTCCAACCGTAAATCGACCCTCAAATCCCAAATCTTACTCTCCAATCCCTAGTCCAAAATCCCCCAAATTTCACCTTAAAAATACATAATCTAGGTGTAGAAATCAATGGCTATTCAATATTATGGGATAAAAATGATCAAAAATAGCTTATCTCTTGATTAGTAGTGAAGTCTCTCTAAAACATCGCCCCTAGCCGATCTCCATGAGTCCAAATATGAAATAATACTCTAACCCTCATTTTTGAATTTAAACAATTTGCCTAGTGGTTCCTCTTCGCGATCGCGGAAAGACCCTCACGATCGTGAAAAACAAAAGATGTTGCCAACATAAAAACACTTCGCGAACGCGAAGTCTCATACGTGAACACGATGTTACTAGATCCAACTCTCCGGGAACGTGTCACCAGTTGCACGATCACGTAGGCTTGAATCTTTATACCCACAACTGACCACTCTTCTTTCACAAACGCATAATACCACTCGCTTTTGCGGTGACCTGAGACCACAAAGCTTTACGAACGCATACCTATGACCATGAAGGCATAGACCAACTTCCACCAGTCCCCAAACAACCCTTCGCGATCGCACTCCTTCCCTCACGATCGCGTATAAGGAAACTAGAACTAGACATAACAACAGTCCTACAAGTCCAACAATGAGCCGAACATGATCCGAATCACACCTGAGGCCCCCGGTGTTGATACACAATTTTTCCTTTATATATTTTAAAATGCATATATACTTTCAAATAGTGCATGAGTATCAACCAACATTTTTCCATAATTTTCTGTAATTTTAAAAGGATTTTAATTAATTTATTCTATCATTTTATTATCCAAATAATTACTAATTGCATCACAAACATTTTTATGATAATTTTATTGCTTAATTTTTTTATTTATATTTATACCAAGCTTTAATTATTCCATGAATAGCCATATGTACATGTTAGGGTTATAATTGCAATAACTTTGCATAATGGCCCATGTGTGCATAATTACCTTATTTCACAAGAAAATAACCTTTTATATTTTTATAATATTAAGTAATTATGTTAAATCATTTTCATGCATAAAAATCATTTTTATCATTTAATTAACTATTTTTACAAACTATTTTATCAATTAATTGGGTATTTAACAAATAGCCTTTTTAATTTTCTTTAATTACGGACCTAGCTCAAAACTACCCTAGCCCAAATACCCTGACCCAATTCCTAACCCGCCTAACCCCTCCCAGATTAAATCCTGGCCGTTGATCTCAAAAGATAAACGGTTCAGGATCATTTCCTTTTTTAATTAATACCAACTACCCCTAACCCTAGTCACTTCTCTAATTCTGCTACCCCAAATCCTTCGCTCCTCTCATCTCTTTCAGACGCTCCCCTAACCCTAGCCGTCGTCACCGGAAAACCCTCCATTCCATGGGATTTTCCTTTGATTTTAGATCCCAACCGGCCTCTTACCTTTACTGGTTGTTCGATTTCTTCATGGTTTGAAGGAATCTCAAAGAGATTCAACTCAGAGTCGACCTAGACTCTTCATTGTTTTTCTCGATGAACCTGCCTCGTGTTCATCGCTATGTTTGTGAGTATTGTTATCTTTATGTTTGTGGCTTGAAACTCTAGTTCTTAACTGGATTTTTCTCACCTCTTTCCATTTTTCAAAACCCTTATCTCTTTCTACTTGAGTCTATTCAGATCCTTGTAGATCTGAAATAATTTTAAGTTTATCTGGTATTTTCTTTAAAAGACCTTCCATTTTTCCTTATTACTAATCGATTTTAATGTTTCTCTAAAAATAGGGTTTCACTTCTTTGCGTTTCTGAAAAACTTTTCTAAAGAAGTTTGAGTGCTTGATTCCGTTACTCTTCGTTTGCTTGACTGTCTATGTTCTAAACCCTAGGATTTTTGACTACTTCATTAGTTGTTCTAGTATTTGCCTGTTATTCCTTGTCTGTCAATTAGTAGAGATTAATTGATGTTATTTGACTATTTAGGGTTCGAAATTATATTATTCTACTGAGATTTTTACTTTCTGTGATTTTTACCTATTTTCCTTATTTGTGACTCCTAATTAGTACTACTTGCCTTAATTAGCTTATTAGCCTGATTTATGGGTTTGATTTGTTCTAACCAACTTATAAATAGCATGTGACTTATTTCTTGCCTTATTTAGACCTTAATCTGGGCTGTTAATTGATTCTCCCTATTATATGGGGTCTTTCCCGGATTCTTCTGTATTAATTGATTGAGTTTAGCAGCCCCAATCAACTGGCTGATTTTATTTGTATACCTTATTTGTGAACTCTATTATTCTTTGCCTTATTTGCTTTACTCTTCTAAATGCTATATAAACCTCATTCTGATTTCTTTCAAACATACAAACACACTTAGAAAGATACAGAAACACACACACAAACTCTTGTTCACACACTCTCCATTGTAATTCTTTCTGTTACTTGTGTTTGCTGCAGTGTCTAGCCGGCTAAAAGCTAAGTCTAGACTATTGGGTTCAACTTTCCTTCACTTTCCGGTTTTCTATCTCTTAACTGGTATGCCCCTATTTCTATTATCATAATCTCTTCTATGTGCTCTGTGTCTCAGTATACATCTACTTTGATACTTCTCTCCTAGCCATCTCCTTCTCAACTACTATGCTTCAATTCTTATTCTCTATGGCTTACATGATTAGTTCACTATGAACCTCAACATGTGCATGTTTATTATATGTTTTTTGTTTATTTTAACTAGTATGCTTTAGTCTTGTTACCTCTTTGTCCCATGTGGCTATGTGGTTAGTGTTACAACATGCTTCTGTTCTGCCCCATGTTTCTCTTAACCAGCATGACTTAAAGTCCTGTCCTAATCTATATGATAACATGACCCTGCTTTGCCCACGATACTGGTTTACTCATTCTAAAACTAGCATGTATAATTCCCACTGCCCCATCCTGTTCTGTATGGTAGTTTGATTAGTCATTTTGATTTCAGCACGTTTCTCTGTTTAATACATGTCTATATGCTCACCTAGTAATAGTTAATGGACTAAGTAAATTCCAACCATGTGAAGATTTGTTTGACTTTATTGTGACTCTGATTTGTCTATGATTCTAGTGTTCCTGGTGATTGTAACTACTGGAATTCATGTCTAGACTTAGTCTGTTAAATGTGGTTCTATTTGTAGTTTTTGATCTTGTGACCTATTTCTATTCACTTCTAAAAATCCAAACTGTTTTTTTCCTAAAACTACCTTCTACTTTTATATACTATTTTTAACTCCTACTCTTAGATATCTAGGGTCATGCCCCTCCAGTGTGAGCACTGCTTAAGAGTCCATGAGACTCCTCCGAACTCTGTCATGTTGGGGCTGGCTTTTCCAAATTTGTTTACAAAAACAATTTCTTTGAAAAAGTTCTGGTGTGAGCATTGCCCGGGGTCTCTGAGGCCTTTGGGAACTTTGACACACCAGGAGCCTATTTGGTTTAATATGGACTATTGGTATACTCCAGATCTAATTGAAGGCCTGGCTTCTAGGTTGATTTTGGGTCTGCTAAGGCTCCATATAATATAGTAATTTTCATTATGTAATTCATTTGTATTGGCCAGTAATAACAATCTTTGTAAAACAGATATGGCGATACTTAGTAAAAAACTAGGAAGGGATTTTTATATCTTTGTTCGGGTTCGGGTAGAAACCATTCCCATAGGTGATTGTGATGATATTTATATGCATTAGAAACCATATTATAGGGTTTATCTCATTATGTTGAATTTTCATACTTTGCATCTTAGAAATCCTGCTTATAGGATCTACATGTATTTTCAACTCAACGTGCACTAGTAACCATGTCCATAGGGTTCTGTCCATTTGATTAATCAATTTCCTAGAGATGTGCTTAAGAATTCTGCTCAGCTGTGATTAATAGAAATCATGCCTATAAGGTCTAAAAAATTAGTTTCTGCATTTCAAAACCATGCTTATAGGATTTCAAAATCAGTTCCTACATTTAGATATCATGCATATAGGATTTCAAAAATCAGTTTCTGCATTTAGATATCATGCCCATGAGGTTTAAAAATCAGTTTCTGCATTTAGAAAGATAAAATGAGTAGTTGATTTACAGCTTAGATGCCATGTCTATAGGGTTCTGCCCGACTATCACTTAGGCAAACATGTAGGTTAATTAAAATTATGGGTCTAAAACTGTGATTGCTCGTTTGAAATATGCCCGGATTCAGAGTATTAACAAAATCAGTGGGCAAACTAATAGGTACTTGTATGCTTGCTTTAATAAAATTATTGCATATTCTGTTTATGTTCACTTAGATATCCTGTCTATAGGATCCTAAAAATCATTTAAAATTGATTGTTTGAACAACGTGCATTTGTTTGTCTATTTGTGGAGGTTAACAGGAGCCTACTTGATTGCTTCCTTATGAGATAGTCCTATTTGACTTTTGTTTGTCATTTAGTTTTCTCCTTTTAAATAACATAGGTGAGTCTAAACCGCCTTAAAATAGAGGCCCTAAACACCTCCAGGGCAAGAGATAAGGGACGGGTAGTGCACGCATAAGGCACTTACTGGATGCTATTAGAACACTTAGGTAATAATTGGAAAGGGAAGGGTAATTGGGTAGTAAAGGAAATGATGACCTGTGCACTAATACTATGTGTAGCACCCCAACTTGGGGATGATTACCAAGTATTGCACAGAAGTGATCTTATAGGGTAAAAACCCTAGGACCCTCTTTACTCCTTGTTTTAAAAGTAATGTCTATTTATTTAAATTGCTTCATTTTCTTATAAGACTAATTCTCTTAAATTGAGTTTGGCCGGGACCCACTGTTGTGGACCTCGAGGGGTGCCTAACACCTTTTCCTCAAGGTAATTTCGAGCCCTTACCCAATCTCTAGTAATGTAAACTAGTTCGAGTTAATTGCTCTAGGTGCCCTAACACACCTTAATACGTTAGGTGGCGACTCTTCAAATCTCTTACCCAATTCCCAAAAGGAAAGAAGTTGTCCCAAAATGTCGAAACCCGGACCCCGCGAGGAAAAAGGGGGCGCGACAGTATGGCGACTCTACTAGGGATATTTTTAGGCTCTTACCATAACAAACTTGCTTTTTGCGAATTAGTCTTAAGCATGCTTTATTCTGTTAATATATGGGCACCCTTTCCCTTTCCCCCTTATTTGGATTTAATTGCATATTTTCAAGCATTTATGATTTCCTTTATTACAGAAACTGACTTGTCTTCTTGTTTTCTTTCTTAAACGTCTTTCAATTATTAAATACCACATTTATCAATTTTTTAACGTGCAAATACGTGACAACATGCTATTTATTGTTGCATAAATCATGATCAACATTAGATTCCACTCGTGCATAACCAATCCTATAGCAACACTTGATGAGTGTTTGCGTCCTTCCTAAATATCAACCTTTAAATCCGAAAAGACGTATTTGCGGTAAAACTAGTCGATCAGTGGTGCAGTCGACGGTTCCGTGTCTTTCCCCCTCAAGTTGTCCACTTGAGGGTACCAGTCTAGACCTCTCTAGAAACCTTACTTTAATTAATTATACATGCATCATGGTCAAACCTACCCGGGTTAATTTTTTGTCCCCATAATAACCCTTTAAGACAAGCCTCATCCAAAAGTCCATCAGGTTTTTCATAATCCCAATGGAAGCAACCACGATTGTGTGCATTAATTTTGGAGAAATAAGTGCCAATATGCTAATCATTGTTGTATAAATAGCCGATCTTGAGGGGGAAATGGCCTAACTATATTTGTTTTGTAGAAAATAAGGCACGAAGTCCCCAGGTTCAGTATGGTCCGTAACATACCACCATTGTTGCTAGACTAGTGGGAGGATCTTCCATCAAGTGATAAGAATAATGTGTAAAGGGTATTTGGGAAATTTTCCTTCTTTATTGGACTTCCAGCCGAACAACATGCTAATCAAAGCCGCCACAATGTGCTGGGACAAAGAAAGAGCCGTGTTTTGCTTTGCAAACATAGAAATAACCCCTCTCTTGGATGAAATAGGGGGTTCACTAGGCTGCCTTAGGATAGTCCTGGTTTATTAGTGTCGGGAAATCGCTCTACTAGGGGGTTTCTGAAGCTGATGGGATTAAAGAAGAATGATGACTTGGAGTGCCAGAAAAATTCCTATATACCCTTCAACTTCCTCTATGAACGATACGGTCATAGTAGATCTTATCGTATTTCTTATGATGAATTCTCCATCACTTCCTTGGGTTGGATTCATCGTAGGGTTTTTTTGTTCATCGTTTGTTTCTTGGGTATGTTAGTGTTCCCGATCCAAGGGGACAAAATCCACACCAGACTGGCCATAGTAGCCAAAACCTTGATGGATGGGATTGAGAGGTAGACATATACCATTGTCCCTATGATCATAGCAGACATATACCAGGCCTTAGACCGCTATTAGAAGGGGTACAAATACTTCGAAGGTTGTAATCTGCTATTATAAGTTTGGTTGTTAGAGCATCTCCAAAAGGGTCAATACTGTCAAGAGCTTCCGCGAAGGCAGTGGAATGACCACATAACTTTCCATCATCATAAGAGAATAACTTATATTCCAGACAGGTTTGCTCAACCTGAAAATGCTATAGGATAGGCGCAGGTTTTTAGCAATTTGACCGAGGATCAGGTTCAATGGATGTTCGAATGGTTCTCTACCAACGGGTTCATCATCAAATCTAAGGATGTTACACACTTGGTACTGATTGGGTTGAGGGGCATATATCCTTATGCTCCCATCAGAGTTATGAGACAGGCAGGCAGGAAGCAGGTCATACCGCAAGTTGCTAAAATGAGTCACTACAGGGCAGATTTTTAGGATGACGACATCCCATACAAATGTGAAGCTCAGCACATGTGGCATTTGAAAGTTATCATGGAAAAGGATACCATCGAGCTAGATCGATATTATGCTGGTCATGTATACTTTTACCCATCATGGTTAGAGGATAACATAGCAAGAATATTCGAGCCAAGGGTTGGTCCAGGAAATAGAGTCATAGATGAAGTTGTCGAGGCACAAGTGAAGTACAACAAACTACACAAAAGAGTTCAGGAGTCCGAGTTCGAGCACATGGAGCAACACAAGACCGATATGGAGCTAATTAATGAATGGATGGAGATGGCGCTTAAATCAAGCAAAAGGTTGGAATAACTTGGTACAGTCTGATGGAATTGGAGGGAAAAATGAGAAAGAGAGTCACCGATTGCTAGAACGTCGAAGGAAGTGTAGGAGGACATCTTGCAAGGGCATACCTACTGCTGAACCTGCGCAAACTGGGGAATTTGATCGACGAAGCCAAAAACATCCATCCTGGAGAAGATCCTTCTAGGACCAAGTAGATTAGGTTTATTTGCTTTTCCAAATGTAATAAGGCCAAGTTCCATTAGTGACTTATCTTATTTGGTGTCGTTATAGATTTATCTATTTTTACATTAATGAAATGAGGCAATTAATGGCACTGAAATTCTCCAAATCTATTTGTTGCTAGGCCTACCTCGGGCACAACGAGGCTCCCAAATTAGGATGCGAATTTACATTCCCGCAATATGTGTTTAAATACTGTAAACATTTGTTAGAATCATTACTGACTTGTTTACCTTTTGTTTTATTATTCCCATATCCTAAGGTTAGTTCGTACATATTGGCATCATCAGCATATCATACTAGATCTAAAGGCCCTCCACCTCCCCTCCTCCATGTAATCCGAAAAGCAGAGGAAAAGCTAAGATGGATGACTTGAGAAGTAAACGAAAAGAAAATGCTGAAAATATTGAATCAGACGGTCGGAGTACTCCGGCCTAGAATGATTTGGTACTACGATTGGAGTAGAAAATACTGGAGTTACAAGGAGAACTTGAGCAGATCCATAACTTAGCAAACTTTTCCCTCACCCTAAACGTCCTAGACGTCAACCAACAAAATACTCCAAACCCATCACCTTCTCAAAATACGCTAAACCAACGTCCACAAAATCCTCCTGCACCCCATTAGTATGCCACACCACCTCAAAACCCCAATCCTCTACCAATACCAACTCCTCCATAACACCATCATCAACCAACCTAGTACCTATAAACCACTACCTATCACACTCCTTAGAACACATCATAACCTATTCTTGATCCTCAAAACTCGACCAACGACCACCACTACACCCAAATCCCTGGCACCCACCAAAATAACCCTATATATGTGGAAACCCTACCTGAATCCACTCAACCAATCTCCTATATACCAGAATCTGCTAAGAAGGACCTGCTCATCAAGAACATGGCTGAGGAGCTCAAGAAGTTGATAAGTCGCGTTTAGGGCGTTGAAGGAGATAAAGGGATAGAAGGTCTGAACTACGAGGATTTATGCATACAACCAGATGTGGAACTGCCGGAGGGTTACAAACCTCCCAAGTTCAAAATGTTTGACGGAACAAGTGATCCCAAGGTTCATTTGAGAACTTATTGTGACAAGCTCGTGGGAGTTGGAAAAGATATAAGGATTCGAATGAAGCTTTTCATGAGAAGTCTTACCAGAGATGCCCTATCCTGGTACGAAAGCTAGAATCCTAAGAAATAGGCCAATTAGGTGAGCATGGCATCAAAATTTATGGACAGGTTCAGGTTCAATACGGAGAATGCACCAGATGTCTTCTATATTTAGAACCTAAAGAAGAAGCTAACTAAGACTTTCCGCGAGTATGCTACTCGGTGGAGGTCAGAAGCAGCCAAGGTCAGACCAGTATTAAACGAGGAACAGATGAACAAGTTCTTTGTCCAGGCACAGGACCCACAGTATTATGAAAGACTAATGGTTATTGAGAATCATAAGTTCTCCGATATCATCAAACTTAGAGAAAGGATTGAAGAATGCATTAAAAGCGGGATGGTGACAAATTTTAAGGCACTGCAGGCCACAAACAAAGCATTGCAATCAGGTGGTATATCAAATAAGAAAGAAGCAGGGGCAGAATGGTGGCCCAAGGCCTAAAATCTCCACTCAAATACCAAAAACCTCCACCTACATACCAACCCTCACCTCCCAGATATTCTCAACCCGCCATCGCCTATCACACTTACAATACCCAGCTAGCCTACTATCATTCACCTCTAGCTTGTCCAAATTACCAGAAACCCCGACCTAATTTTGATCGCAAACCACCCAGACAGTACACTGCCATTGTTAAACCCATTGACCAACTGTACGAAAGGTTGAGAGCTACTGGTTATGTCACCCTTATTCTCGCTGTGGCAATGGAGAATTCATCTCAATGGGTCAACTCAAATAAAACCTGTGCATACCATTCCGGTATGAAGGGGCACACCACTGATGAGTGCTGGACATTAAAAGATAAGATTCAGATATTGATTGATAACAAGGTCATACAGGCGAAGGAAGCTGCACCCAACGTCCGCAACAATCCTCTTCCAGATCATAGGGGCGAAGGGATCAATGTGATAGAAATTGATGAGGAGTGGGATCCCAAGGGATCAATTGGACTTATCAAAGAGGACGACGATCTTAAGAAGCCCGCAATCACGCTCAATCCTATTGTGGTCCAGGTACAACCGCTAGTTGAGGTTGAGGCAACCACATCAGTTCCATTTGAGGTAGAAGTAACACTATATGCAGCCACACTTGTTCCATTTGAGGTAGAAGTGACCACACTTTTCACAGTGACAGTAGCAACCACGCCTCCTTTCAAGTCCAACGACATACCTTGGGATTACGTTGCCGAAGCTAGGCGAAAGGAAAAGCAAAGATGAAAGAATCTGGTGCCGCACGGGGAATGACCAGAACTGGAAGGATCTATACACCCGAAAATTTAGTAGGGTCAAGCAAGGAGGCTACTACAAAACAACCTGTCATTGAAACTAGACCGAATGATCTTTGGAGGAAAGTACAGGCGAGGGAATACTCTGTCGTCAATCATCTAAACAATACCCCCGCCCGGATATCTATCCTTTCACTATTGCAAAATTTAGAGGCGCATAAGAATGCTCCGATGGAGGTGTTGAACGAAGCTTATGTGCCCAACAATATCACCAGTAGAGAGATGTCCAACATGGTAGGGAAAGTACTGGAGAGTCACAACATCACCTTCCACGAGGATGAACTACCACCTGAAGGGTTAAGTCACAACATGGCACTGCATATCACGGTACAGTTTGAAGACAAATTCATTGCCAGGGTCCTAATAGATGGGGGTTCAAGGCTCAACATTTGTCCATTGACTACTCTGAAAAGATTGGGCAAAGATTTCCATGAGATACATGCAGAATGTATGAACGTGAAAGCATTTGATGGGTCTCAAAAGGCCACAATTGGGGAGATTAACCTTCGTCTGCAGATGGGACCAACTAGGTTCGATGTTGAGTTCCAAGTACTAGACATATCAGCTACATACAATCTTCTATTGGGTCGACCTTGGATACACACCGCTGGGGCCGTGGCTTCCACGCTACACCAGGCCGTGAAGTTCGAATTGAACCATCAGGAAGTAATCATTCACAGAGATAGAAGTAACCCCATTTACAATAGTCAAACTATCCCGGTTATCAAGAATAAAAGAAGGCTGGGTGGAGAAACTTATTACCACATTGAACATGTCAACGCAATTAAGAAGGACAAGTGGTGGAGTAATGATGATGTCCAAATCCACTACTAAAAAGTAAATGGACATGGTCGCATGCAGTATAATTTACCCAACTATGAGTCAGGGTCGAATCCCATAGAGAACAATATATAGGCGATTAGTAATGTAAGAGAATTATCACTTATCGCGCAATGCCAAACACTTAGAATTGGTTTTGAAAATATTTTATATCTAAATGCGGAATTGTAAACTAACCTAGAAAGCAAGTAAAATGATCAATGGCTACAAGTATGGATGCATCGGGAATTACACTCAAGTAACGATCCAATGTATTTCACGATTTTACAAATATGAGCGAGTTTATGTTAATTAGCCAAGGATAATAATTATTAATTAGATTCTTCCGAAGACTAATAAGACTTTCTAATTGAATTATCCCTAAAACAATTAAGAGATTAAGCACACCCGGAATGTCTAAAGTAGTTCAATCCTATTCCTAGGTAGAGTCTATAAAATGAGGGTTAAAGCCTCAAGTTCTTGTTAATTAATCTTTC